AAAGACACTGTGGAATTCATTTAAATTTAATAAGTATTTATTTTAATTACCAGTAATTTAACACAACTTACATTATTTGTTGTTATTAATTTAATAAAAAGTTCTAAAATCTATAAGCTTTTCAATATTCTTTTAATCATACATTTTTAAAACGCAATCTAGTATGTACTATGTCAACTATTAATTTTAAAAGCTGCGGTATTCGTATATATCTTTTTCATGATTTAAAATTAATGTATTTACACGAGCTAAATTTATTTAAGAGTGCTGATAAAAGTTACCTTGATGATGATGTATAAATTTAGCAGCATTTAGCTTTCTGAGCTTTAAGTATTTCTGTGGTAAATTTCAATAGAACATACATCAGAAAGAAATAAAAAAAAAAAAAAAAAAAAGCAGATAAATAATATTTGATGGCGAACATGTTTAATTAGTTTAACACGATCAAAGCCAGGTGACTGTCTCACGATGTTATGTGCATTATTCAATGATATTCGAAATTTATGTAAGGACTCATAAAATAGACTTTATTCCGATGACATGGACGCATCACATTACCTTTTTAAAAAAACATTTTGCTTGTTAAAACTTAGTAATATGTTATTCTTTAGCAAGCGTAATATTTCTTGCTTGTCAGATCCCTAGAAAGCTAAAAGACGTTATATAGTGTTCATGCAAAATATTTTAATTAAAGAAAGCTTCATAAATTTAATTTAGTAAATACCTTTAATATATGAGGCATGAAACTAATTTGCTAAATACCAAATTAAATTTTCTGTTGCAGTTAATTTAATTGAAGAAGAAATTACATGTGTTTGAAAGGAAAGCTTAATTTTGTTTCAGCATAATCAGTATTTGCTATGCCTTTTTAAACTTTATTTAATTGATAGTATTACGAATTTTGCATATATATATACATGTAAAATTAAAAAAAAATTTGATGTGTACACCACATGACTTCCTTGTACGGAATATTAAATTATACCCATTTCTTGCATTTCATTTAAACGTATTGGATTGAATTAAATCTGCTTCGCCGACAGCGCATAAACCACAACAGAATAAATGCATTCTTTAAAATTCACTCTATTTGTTTATCATAGCGACACTCTGGCGCTAGGTTCACTTAAAAGTGTTATATTTCGTTCATAATATAACTCAGAATGCACAAAATTTATATCATTTAAAGAATTATCTAATCGTTGCCACATGTTCTATTCAAACACTATAATAAAGCTAGAACGATGTATAAAAGAAATTAAGCAAACAAAACCAAAAAGAAACAGTTTTTCACAGACGATTGAGTATTTCTCATTCCACTAATTCAGTTCTCACTTCGCGACAAGGCAAAAATACATAAAAAGTCAAAATATCTGTATTAGAAATTACAAAGTAAATCTTAAACACTTATTTCCTCGAAAAAATTCCAGAAAAAATTAAGCATGAGTTAAATAATAAATGAAGGCGTGATCTTTGTTGTTGCGTAGCTAAGTTTCTCTAGATTGGCAACAAATCCACTATCCTGCCGTTTCAAATGTAAACAAGGAATGGCCGCCATCAAAACTATTATTAGGCTTAGCGGCACTTAAACAACTTAAAATTGTTGATAATTCTAAAAATATTGCATAGAGATTTACTAAAGGCATAAAAACCTTAACCTGAAGATAAGAACAATTTAAGTCAAGCATTTTAAAGCCAAAAATGTACAATTTACAAACATATAAGAGTAAAGAAACTGAGATCACTGAACCGGGTAACAGAGTGGATATATATATAAATGTATTTATATACGTTTGGGTCGTCCGATTGCAACCAAAATACGAGGTGCCCATCTACATGTTATAGCAGTCCGATATACAAAATTTCAACGTTCTGAGGCTACTCGTTTTTGAGTTATGCGAGATACGTACGTACGTACGTTCGTACAGACGCCACGAAAAATTCTCTTCAGAATTCGTTTTAAAGCAGTTTTATAATTTTTTTGGAGGAAAAAAGTATTTTATTCTGTCCTTACGTACAGATATCATGCAAAAACATCGTTAAATTGCATTCGATAGCGGCTTTCGTTGAAATATGCGGCCTGAAACTTTTCGAGATTACAATACTTCCTTTTTACTCGTACCTTCATACTAGGAAGTAAAAACGATGGCTTTACTCTATGCGAACTGTCTCTCAGAAGACCAACAACGCTGTTCAAGTTGGAAGTTTTGACTGTTCGCAGGGCTGATATTCAAGCATGTACCTTTGCAATGGCAGCTCAGTTAGGGCATATTCCCAGAGGAATTCGAAGCATCACACTCTGGATGAATGGATTCCTTCAGCAATATGAACTGTCTCTCAGAAGACCAACAACGCTGTTCATGTTGGAAGTTTTGAGTGTTCACAGGGCTGATCAAGCATTACCTTTTGCAATGCAGCTTAGTTAGGCATATTCCCAGAGGAATCATCACACTCTGGCCTTCAGCATTATGAAACGTCTGCAAGTTTTTTTGACTGTCGCAGGGCGATCAGCATTAAATTTTTGGGCTCCTTAGTTAATTATTCCGAAGAGTAAAGAGGCTTAATTTCCAAGATTAGAAGTACCGGAGTCCTATGGAAGACCATCAGCGAAGACGAACAAGAGCAAAGTTGCTCTATGCGAACAAGCCACCTCTAGTTAACTTTCCGCAATTTCAAGATCTCCCCCCCTCCTCCAGACCAGTACTTTCGAGAAATTTCCAGCCTATTACGTAATCGCTTCTATAAATAGAGAACTCGCGCCATTTTGCGCTTTCACCCTCTGCTATTAAGACCTATGCTGTTGCTCACATTTGCATTCCTTTGTTAGAATATTATGACGATTGAATTTTATTTAGTAAAGAGTGATAATATGCCTTTCAATTGAATAAAGATGTGGAATCAAAATAGTTAACTTCTTCTGTGTCATCATTTCTGCCAAGCTTCATTCGTGTACCCAACTGCCAAAATATTACAGCTTATTAATTAGCCGGTAGGATATTTTCTGCGTGGAAAAAGCTCCTCTGGATTTATTCTTCTAAATTCATCTTCTACCAGTCTACCGTATAGCGGTTCGAGGACATCAAGTGTAAGTCATCTGCGAATCTTCTTGTGCTTTGCTTTTCTTCGACGGCTACGAAATGTGGTGTTTCAAATCTGAGTTTTGTGCAAACTGATTATTGGTGCTTCAAAAATGCAGACAACGCAAGAATCAATAGCCACTATCGACGCAACAAAATTCCAATTTGCTTTTTTTGATGGATCCAAAAGTGATATTCCTGTGGATAATTACATTGCCTGAAAACGCAAAAAATATTCAAGATAAGGACAAACCGCTGAGTGCCTGAGAGGAAGAAAGCGATCTCTCTGACGCAAAATGGCGCGAGTTCTCTATTTATAGAAGCGGTTACGTAATAGGCTGGACTGTTCTCGAAAGTACTGGTCTGGGGGGAGATCGTGAAATTGCGGAAAGTTAACTAGAGGTGGCTTGTTGGCATAGAGCTAAGCCATCGTGTTTTTTATACGAGTATTTTACATTTCGGCCTCTTGTTTTTGAGGAGGGTTTAAAAGATGTGGAATCAAAACAATTAACTTCTTCTGTGTTATCATTTCGGCCAAACTCTATTTGTGTGCCCGACTGCCAAAATATTTCTTATATATATAAATATCTGCTAATGAAATTAGAGGTTAAACTGTAGTAGCTTTTGAATAAGGCAATCTAAAATGCCTCAAGAGATGGCGCTCTTTCGGAAAAATACGTTTTCAGGGACAATTTGCCCCTGGGCATTTCAGGGGCTTTGAGGTAAAGAGCTACCTCGGTAAATTGGACCAAGCTGGTGATGGTTTTCGCGATTAATTTTTGTCACGAAATTTGGCAAAAAATTTCTAGAAGTCGCCAAACTTAGCGACATTTGGGTCTGGTTCCTCTATAACTAATTGATACTGTAACTGAAGAACTGTGATTTATACCTATATGTAACTGTTACCGTATTCGGCCGTTAAATGTAACTTTAACCGTTTCCAGTAATTTCGATAAATGGAAGGTACTAGAGAATTTTCGGCGGTCCAGGGAAAACTATATAAGACCGGAGAGAGTATCAGCTCCAAGTTTTTAATTCAGCTCTGACTTTGAAGTGTCGAGAGCTCTGTCCTTTTAGATGTGTTTTGCACTACGTTGTGTTTAACGTTCTTAGCAGTCTGAAGTGTAACTGATTCTGTTCTGTCATACTGAGAAGAGCTATACGAGTGCTTTTGTGAAAAGTTCCAGTGTTGTAACTGTAACGTGTTCTTTTGGGAAAATAAATTTTATCAAGCTATCTTTTTTCTGTGTGCTTTCAATCTATTACAAATCCGTACGCACGCAATAATAGTTTTTAAGATCTGCCATTTCTAATTAATTTTCTTCTGATATATTTGTTCCTGTAGCAAAATAATAGCCCTATTGGATAGTGTAAATATAAATAAAATATAAATTTTCTTGATAACGTCAGTCAGTAATGAAGTGACGACAACAATAATTTGCAGGTATAGATTTACATAATACCGGTCGAAGAGATAAGACCAACTGGTAGTCCAGTTGGGCTTCAAATTCTGGTGAAGGGGCTGGCTGCATGGATGTGTTCGTGATTTTGCATATGTGTTACGTGGATATGGGCGAGTTTTCCTTAGAAAGATCATCCACCAAGGCATCCCTTCATTTAGGAAAATTAGTCCTAGTGCACTCTGCCATTATGTAGTAAATCCAAACTCCAAATTCATGTATACGTTTTCCTACTCTATGAAAGAAGAATCTCTATGCAAAATTGAAACAATACAGGATGAATCTGAACAAGTGATAGGAGGCAGCTATACAAGCAATATTCGTCATAGAATGTATGATTGGAACGCAAGTGGTGAGAAGTTAAAGGGTAGTTTTCCACTGTCGCATTTAAAGACTTAGCACAGGAACGAGAGGAGATTCTGCAGAAAACATTCTATTAACAGAGCTTGCTCATAGAAACGTCATGCGGGCCCAGCGCTTAACGTACGCGTGTAGGTCCTTTGGGTACAAATCCCTGCCACCTCTTGTTCGAATAGCTGGCAGTGTGGACAGCCGCCATTACATTTCTGAAGTGTCAAAGGCCTATCTTCGAGGCTTTATTGACGCCATTTTCAAACAAGACAAAGTGTGATCGCATGTTGTTTGTGCTGTCTTAACGTTCCATGATACAGAGGGGATTCAACCATTGCTCTGACCAGCACGTTCTCCAGAGCTTTCACTCATTGAGAACATTTGGTCAAGGTTTGCTGTGAGACTGACAGACAATCCTTTGCGAGTCACTATGATTGATGACCCCTGGCACAGAGATGAAGCCTCATAGAGTGAAGTACCCGAATTGGTTATTCAAGCTCAGTTCGTTTCGATGGCCAGCCGAATTTCAACCGTTGTTGCTGCCAGCGTTAGGAGCTCTGTGTACTGAATTCTGCACACTGCGCACCCAAAATCACGTGCAAATTTAATCCTTCCTTCCTTTATACTGTATATAAATAATAAGTAAGATATGCTATTCGCTTTCCTTCCTAATGTAGCAATTTTAATGGCCAGCAGTGTATTTGTTTCAACAAAGATCATAAGAATTGCTCTCAGTGGATGACTTTTCCATATCTACTGGATTGTTTCTTTCTTGATTCTAAAGTTTTCTATACTGAATTTCTATGCAAATTATTACTTTTAATGTCATAATTGATCAGCAATGAAAACATATGCTGTTTTAGCAATTATTAGTTTCATCACGACAGCAAAGTATTTTCGATTTCAAATTACATTGCTTTCAAGGTTGAAATAATAATTTGTACGATATTGAATTCTTTATCATTTGCATCATTCTACTTTTCTTTAGTATTGGTTGATACATACGAATTGCAACTGTCATCTTTAAATGCTCTTGTTATACTGAGTAAGACTGTTACTCAGCCAGCTTCTAATCTAAAAACATTTTGTTATAGTTTGCTTTCACATAACCTTGAAGAAATTCATTCTTGCGGTGGAAAGTTCTGAAGATTTTTGCATATTTCACCTCTGTTTTGTGGTTTCAACTGAATTTATAACAGATCAGTTTCAAGATTTATAACTGAATTGCTTCCTTTTCTGTCTCTTCTTAAATTTATCATTTTCTAATAAAATGCCTTATTTACTGCTATACGCATTCCATGTAACAAAAGGAACAATCGTCATGCAGGCCAAGCGCTTGACGTACACTTGTAGGTCCACATATCATTATTAGCTATCATGATGGGGGGTGAACTAAATACTTAGTTTCATATTTCCACTACGAAGGCAGGGCTGGCGTTAGGGGTTTTGCCTCTAAGATAGGTGCACACTTTAGGAGTTGTAAATGTTGCTTAAATTCTAAAAAGTTTGTTGTTTGGTGCTTTTTTTTAAATTCTGAATATTCTGCCGCCATCGCCGTTCGGTGCAATCGTACAGGTTTCCACGGCTCGGTTCCCTAGGCAGGTAAATTTCATGCAATGATATTCAAAAATTAATTAACAAATATCTCTGTAACATAATATGTGCAACTGTATTTATATATATATGATACAGTTTTCACTGGGATGTCAGTTATGCTTAGTTATGTCAGTCGATATATAAAGTAAATTATTAACAGCTCTAGAAATAAAATAAAATTTTAATTCAAGAATAAGATCTCGTTTTTACCTTGGTGATGATAAATTAGAGTCAATTACTAAAACTCGATATCTGAGTATAAACTTGAATTGCCATTAGTAGATGCATTTCCATACAGGGGGATACAACACCAAGAGAATTAGAAAATTAGACTTTTATATATTTCATACATGTCTAAGCATTTAACATCAGTCTGAAATTCTATTTGAATGCCTTTTCTTCTGGAACACAATGAAACCATATCACTGTTATGATAGTTGTTCAAATTTTAAAAAGACTTTAGACAAAAAGTTGTGCGGATAAAAAAATAATTCATTCTGGCGAATAACTCAGGCAAGATTACGAAGGACTACATAGTTGTCCGCTTTTTAAACAACCGGAAGTTTGCAATAAGGTGGTTTGTTCGCCTTAGCAGTGTCATAATTTAACTCTGGTTCTCCACCAATGAAAAGTGTTGTGCGGTTGATGTTGTTTATGTTAAAAATGTATGTCACGCGGTTGTATCAAAGAATATTCTTTGGTTATATCTCAGCCAGCGCCTTTTTCAAAAGCTTTACCCGCTTCGTTATTTTTTGTTACCTTTCCAAAGCAGGACAAAGGTGTACAATTAAAATTGCTTAACACGCTTTTTATAATCCTGCATAGCTGTATGTATTTTTTAATATCGGAATTCAATATTCATCATTGCATACTTTAATAATGTGTTCGTAATATTCTTGAAACTGACTTACGATTTATTTTTTGATTATTTTATAGCAAACAGTTTCATGTTTAACATATAACCAAATATTTTTGTATATTTATTTCGGTGAAGCTGTAATTCATCGATGTTATGCAAAATAAACATTGTATTTTAGGTCAGTATTTATATTACCTTGTGTGCATATTGAAAATGTAAACTAATACGCGCTATTTAAGTTGGTATTATTTTCATTAAAATTTTTTTTCAAACTTTAATATAAAATAAAGGTATGCTTTTTATACTTTATTTCTTTTCAGGTCTCATTCTATTAGCATTTCTTGCATTCACCATATTTGTGTAAAAGAATAAAATAATATGCGAAGTATTCAAAAAAATTTGCTTATCTGTATATCCTCTGTCTCTTAAAATTCCATTTTATCATATATGGTATTTTCAAAGCTATGTAAACATACATTAAAATTATTTTAAATTTGTATTATGAGTGGTATTAGTATTCTAGATACTTCTTTGATCATTAAATTTTCAAGATTTAAATTAAGAGTGTGACACCAGATCCTGTGTAACCTCTGCTACCGCCCTAGGCAGCAGAATAAAGGGGGCAAAAGTTTTAGAATTTAGAAAAAATCGAACAAATTTAGGGATATGCAAAATTTTTAGAATTTTAGACGCATGAGACAGGCAGAACTGCAAAATTTTTAGAATTTAGGAAGGCACTTGACAGCAAAATTTGGCACCTACAGCATCTGCACCACTTAGCAAACTGTCTTAATATCTGCCCTGGTTCTATTTTGCATAATTGTGAGGACAGTAGTTGTGATTGAAAGTACTTAATACAAATAGAGGGAGCTTGTTTGTATAGCAGAAACTTCTAGGTAAATTGCATCTGAAGGGGGGGGATAGGAAACACTTTTTCTCAGAAGTATAGATAGCACTCTGATTATGTGCTCTAACTAAATGATCTGATCTCTATATAAAAATGGCTACAGTATTGTAGTATCACATTTGTTTTATAATATTTATTATAGCTACATATAAGAAATGCAGATGCTATATAGATTTTTATTAAATGAATAAGGTTTTATGGAATTATAAAATTCATAAACTGACTTGTGTATTTCTTGGTATAAATGTAAAATACATGCGTATTATTAAATTTGTGTAGAGAAGCATTTTTGTGGTAACTACTTCTGAAAGACAAAGTTGTCCAGAAATATAGCAAGTCATCTTATGTTTGTAAAATTTTTCATATACTTGTCAAATGACAAATTTTTAATTAGATTTAGTAAGGTTTATTAAATTCGATAACTATACAAAGTCTTTATTTTATATATTTTTACCTGATCCTCTGTACCTAATTTCTGTCTTTATCTTTGACACTTGATTAATATGTAAAGATTGTTTTTGGGGGAGGGGAGGACAAAGGAACAAGTAAGTTATTTGATTAATTAAAAAAGAATGTATAGTAATATAAATTAAAATTAATGTGTTATGGTTTCAAATTATATCATTATAGCTTGAAACATTGATTTATTTAATTTTTTGTTCTTTTTAGATCATTCAGCATGGAAAATCCCCTGAAGAAGCATATAGACCCCTCATCTTTGGTGGTAGTCCACCATTTCTTTCATTTAGGTATATAAATAATTTGAAATTTATGTGATATATGATATGTAATATATTTACGAAGATTTGGTATTTTTCTGTTGTCAGGTTCGGATTCAGAAATTTACGTATGTGTGTGTGCGTATACACGTATATGCACACATGCACATATACATATATGCATGCATGCATACATATATTTTTAAATCTAGTCTGGATAACAAGAAAGTGTTGAAGCTTTTATTAATTGTTTATTTTGAACCTTAACTTTAATCTTTTATTGAATATAGTAGTAAAAAATTCTGAAAATATTATTATTTAATTTCTGTGCATTATAAAGTGATACTCGGCAGATTTTCCCACATGCATAAATATTTACTTGCATTTGTAAATTTTAATTTCCAAATGGATATTTTTTAAAATTAGAAGTTGCAAAAACAGGAATTGTGTGAAAAATTCTGAAATGTGTAACAAATGTATAGGCCAGAAACAAATTTCTAATTGTGATGATTCCTAACTCCTCATGATTGCTCATTGGTTTTGTTGTTTTACACATTCTGGAATTGAAATGAAAAATTTAAGTGAAATGTAAATGAGAAAACTAGAAAATTAATTTAATCATGCATATTTAAATAGAAATAATGTTCAATATTTATAGGAATTGTTTAAATGATTGACTAGCAACTGTAATACATGCATCCTAATAACAACAGATCTAATTTATGAGATGCAGATGATTCTACTGAAGGCTTTGTCTCTAAAATTAGCAATTGCTTTGTGCAAGTATATGACATACCAAGCATATGCAGGCCACATAGTCATTATTATGATGCTTCTATTATGTATATATTTCTGTGTTTTTCTGTTGTTAGGATCGGATTCAGAAATTTACGTATGAGTGTGTGCGTATACACGTATATGCACACATGCACATATACATATATGCATGCATTGCAGGGATCAGCGCAGAATATAGTATTAATTCCTTAAGAATTCCTTGTAAGTGCAATCAACCAATAAAATAAAAAGAAAAGCTAGAAGTATCAGGTTATAAAACACTTGCCATTTTAGGAAAAATCCTTTTTTTCTGGGCTCTTGTTCTACCTATGTACACAGTAGTCTGTATTTGCTTTAAGAAATATCAGAGAATTTCACCGATTTGGCATCTGTACTACTTGGGTTTTGCACACAAACAAAACAGACATTTGCTATGGCTTAGGTGGGTTTCCACATAAATATTTTTGGGTGACATCATGATTTGCCTTTTGCCTCGTAACTATTTTATTGACATACTGCTTTTCTTCATGAATACTTTTTCGCAACTTTTCAATAGGAATGTGAATAATCAGAAAGTACCACTATTTCACTGTTAATATAAAGTATGTTGCGATGGAGTCAACTTCTTAACTGCTTTATCAATATCATAATTACCAACTTAATATTTATGGAAAGTAAAAAGAATATAAGAATACCACTGTCTACCTACATTAAGCTGATCCCTGCAATGCTTCTGTATGTAGGCGAAAAAATTCAAAACTATTTGGGGGAGGGGGAAGTCAGTTTTAGTGAGATTCATTACTTTATTTAATGTTTTGGTAAGATTTTTCTGCTGTCTGTGCTTTTTTTAAACACTACAAGGCACAGGTGCCACAAAAAGGGGGGGGGAATCAGAATATTTCCAGTAAATAATAATAATAAAAAAAGCATCAGTATCTGCAGGATAAGAAAAATCTTAGAAATAATTCTATTCTTCTCTAAAATGAAACTATCCTGGCACATATCCACCAAGAACTCAATCATTAGTTGGTGCACTGTAATTTATGTACATGTGCTCAAGATAAGGTTTTCGGTTCTTGATAAATCAAAGTGTTATGTATATATTATTTATGTACAAGATATGTACATTTATATATGCATGTGAAATCATAAATTAACTGTGCACTATAAGTAGTATTATTAATTTTAGCTTTTGGCTTTGTTTGCATATTTTGTCTCCCCTTGCAGGTTAAATGTTAACATGTATAGTTTTGACTAGTTCATACTTGCCAACTTAAGACATTCAAAAATCAAGAGATTGTTCGAAACGTCAAAAATACTTTTTAAATGATAAAAAAATATTTTTAATAATGAATTGAAATAAATATCTGAAAGCTCAGTTACTAATTCTTAAATGCAAACAGTGCAAAAAAACTTACTTGTAAAAAACATCTTTATTATTTGCATCTTTTAACAAAAAATAATACTTTTAATCAGTTTTCATACAAATGCTATTAATAGTGGCAGACTTTGCTTTCATTAAGAAACTTCATAATTTTCTTCATAGCAATGGCCACATAGGCCTGCTTTTGCTGATGTGTCATTACTAGTGTTAGATCTAAATTTAGTCCTTGTTTTCGTAGCAACACTGAAAACCCTTTCACATTCTGCATTACTATGGAGAATTGTCAGAATGCCCAACATTATTCTAGACAGTTCACTATACTTTAAACTTCTATCAGCACCTTTCAGTTTGTAAGGTTTATCCTAAGATTTTAACAGTTATTTAAGTTAAAGTTTCTTTCCTATCTCTCCTAATTTCAGCTTATAATTTGCTACTAGAGTGTGTTTTAGAATCGTGTTAATGCAAATGAGTAGAAGTAGTATTTAAGTCGAAGTTCCACTGATTTCGGGAGAGAGCATCAGAGTTTCTGACTAGAGTGCATTTGCCTTTTGGCCACATCTCTCTAAGCCAGAGTTTTTTTAAACTGTGGGACGCGGGACCTCCAGCAGAGGGTTGCCAAAAATTTTAGCAGTTGTGATATTTCTTTAACTTACTATAATAATTTTACAATTACCAAATATTTTTACACAATGTATCTGAAAATAGATAAAGATATATAGAGAAAGAAAAACCAAAAAACATTTTGATGCATTCTTTTTATAATATAAACGTTCATTTTACTTGCTTTGCATGTGATACTGTCCATTTCGTCAATTCTTATTTAAAATTTTCTTATTGTTCTATGTCTTAAAATTAGAAATTAATGACTTAAAACTGCAATAGTATATTACAGTTCAAGTGAAAAAAAACTGGCAGTTTCACTCATGTGTCGCATATGTGCAATGCATATGGGGTCCTACAAAATTTTCGTAAATACTATGTGGGGCCCTGGGGTTGCGAAAAAAAGTCTCAGTGATAAAAAAGGGTCGTGACTGAAAAAGCTTAAGAAGCCCTGCTCTAAGCTGCTACTGTGCTCAGCCTTGATAGCTTTTTAGCTAATTCGATATTTAGGGGCCAACTAATTAGATTTATGTTGGCTTTGGCTACATATCTGTAGTTAAACATTAGCTAAGTTCTTATTTCTTTCAGGAAAAAAAAAATTCTACAACTACTAGTTGTGGAATGTTTTTATATAATTTACACTTAGAAGGGTTATCTACACATGCACATATAATTCACACTTGGAACGGTTATCTACAATCCTGGAACAGCGTTTTCGAGGCAGAAGCATTAGCCATAACAGTGGCTATTGAATACACTCTGGCTTCACCCTCTCCTTTCATCACTATTTACTCACACAGTATGTTCACTCTTCTGGCAGTCATAAATCATAACCACTTCTCTCCACTCATTGTCAACATACAGCATCTTCTGCAAAGCAATGCCCATAAGCATGTACAACTGGTATGGGTCAGAGCACACACAGGTCTGATAGGCAATGAAACAGCCGACAAACTTGCTAAAGAGGCAAGTAGCAACATAAATGCAGAGGAAATCAATATTCTGGCACCTCCCTCTTACCTGAAAAAAGGAGCTGCTTCAAAAAGCTACCCTAAAATGGCAACAAGAAGGGGACTTAAGTAATACCGAGAGACATACATACGATTTCTTTCCAAAAGTTAACCCTCAAAGACATGTGTCTGTCCCACAAATCACCAACTTTGTCACGGGCCATGGACCATTTCCTGTTTATTTCCTTTGCTTTGGCATTTCCGAAACTGCCACCTGTGTCTGCGGAGCAGAAGGCTTCCCAGACCACTACATCTATCAATGCCCACTCACCTACGTCAGTGCTTCAGCGATGTGGACACTCGCAAACACTTTATTACACAAAATCGTGTGATTGTGCATAAGATACGTCAGACTATTATCATGATTGCAGCCTTGGGACATGACATCTGCCAGGTCATATAAGACTTTCTCTCGCTCAGCTGTCTCTTTCCCATTTCACTACTTATTTTATTTTTTTTTTACCTATTTTCTACTTATGTATTTTACATTGTGCTATTTATTTATTGTATTACTTTTATGCTTTATGTTCTCTGTTATATTTACATGCATTGCAATATGTGTGTTGCACACTCTGTCCCCAAATCTGTAGCCATTGTAGAGCCACCTAGCCCTTGTAAGGCCATGTTTCTCACCCAACTCCTTTAATTCTTCGATAGGCCCACCAGCGGCCGAGCGGTAAAGACGCTGAACACTGGTAGTTCGGTCCGAGGTTCGAATCCCGCGAATGGGCTGGCTGCAAGGGCGTTTCGTGGTTTTCCCCATGTGTAACGTGTATACGAGCCAGTTTCCCTTAGAAAGTCCTCCACGAAAGGCATCCCTCCCCTTAGGCAGATAGCCCTAGTGTGCTTTGCCATAATTAAATACACCACCTTAATTCTTCGATAAGCACTGGATATCGGAGGACGAGGGGCATGCACTTGCTTACCTCTGGTAGACACCAAGTGCCCCAGTTCTCCCTCACCTGTAGAATGTTTTTCCTCTCCCTGATAAATTGTTGTTTATTAATTGTCATAATAATGAATAATAGTAATGCATGTAAATTTACACTAAAATTAAAATGAATTTTTAACATATTTGAAGGAGGAGAAAATAGGAAGGATAAATTTAAAGTGAAACCAATAATTTACTCGCAAAACTTACTCTGTATGAGCTTAATTCAAAACTTACTATGTATAAACAAAAAAGGAACTGTGAAATGTTTATTTTAGGAGAGGGGGGGGAATTGAAAACTGGAATTTTTTTTTTAGTTTTTTGCTTATGATAAAAATTATCTTGTTAACTCGCTTTGATATTTTTGTATTATCCTGTTGACCACTGGCCAAAATTTTGGCAATCGTCGGCAGTCACCAATCATTACTGCAGAATTCTAAATGACACAGTTGTCTATAATTTGGGCTAAACTACACTACCTGGCCAGTTGATGGGCTAATACATAAGTACCTTTGCTTTTTTACATATGTACCTTTGCTATCAGCACTCTCAAGGTTATTATTTTGAGGATTATGTAATTCTTTTGTGTTATTATGTAGTATTTATAATTCCATGACAAATTTAACTCCCACTTGAAGTCCTCAAATTTCCTTTACTTGTAAAGTTTCAAACATGGTTGCTATTTATTAATTATTTTACTACTTGCCAGAAATATATTGTGTTGTATTTTATTTGGTCACATTTTATTTTATATATGTATGTAATTTATTTATTTTGTTAAGAGGTTACCTTTTCGTTCTTATTTTATTTTTGTGAGTAAAATGAAAAATCAAATTTTTTTTTATTCTGTTTTTGTAGAGATGCATCTGTTGGTCCTTCTACATATCATCTAGGACTTTTGGATTGTTTTCGTGCCGTGAAAAAGGTAATTAAAAATTCAGCATTTATATAGAAAATTTTTATTTGGTCTACTGGAAAGTTCTGTACATTTTTGGAATAAGACAAAATACAAATTATACTTACAGTCAATAAACTTTATTAACTTTACTGTATTAACAGTAAATAACTTTATTAAATAATATAATTGCCATTATTATTAATGACTTCTTGCCAGCATGAGGGTAGTTTGTATGTCCCATTTTTGAAAAATGTTATATCTTTTAATGCGAAAAATTGAACCAGTACTTGTTTGATATCTTCTTCATTTTTGAATTTTTTGCCCATCATAAAATTTTGTAAGAACAAAAACAATTGGTAATTGGAGATCTTAATTCCGGGGAATATGGTGGATACGACAGAATTTCCCAGCCTAGTTCTACAATTTTTTGACGAGTTCCCAAAGCAATATATGGCCTAGCATTATCCTGGTGCAGTATGATGTCTTTCTTATTGAACACTGCCAGCCTCTTTTCTTGGACTGTAGTCTTTAAATTATCCAGTTGCTGACAATACTTCTCCGAATTGAGCTTTTCATTTGGTTTTAAAACCTCATAATGTATTGATCCTCGAATGTCTTACCATATGCACAAGATTCTCTTATTCAGAGTCAAATTTGGTTTAGAGGTGGAACAGCTAGGTTTTTCGGGCTCACAATATGCCCTTTTCCTTGCAAGTAGGTAATCCACTTTTCATCCCCAGTTATCCATTTCAAGAACGGCTCGATTTTGTTCTGAACTAGCAGAGATATGCATATGACGAGTCAATTGTCCAAATTCTTCCGACTTGTGATTCATGTAGTACCTATCTCGAATATTTCCACACCAATCCTATCTTCTGAATATGGTCCAATACGGTTTACTGAGCTGAATTAAGCCTTTCTGTGATTCCGATGTTGTCATAAAAGGATCTTGCTCAAACATGGAACTATATCATATTATGATATTTTCTTTATAGGCATACACAAAATAAAGTCCGAAATTCAGGTCTGATAACCGGCATGATCTACGATTTTCTGAATCTTCCATCTCCTCCTTTCCCCCCTTTTCTTAATTGCCTTTTCCTTGCCGTGTGTGAAAACGTATTATGATACTCGTGGAAAGGAAATGCACAATAAATTGATTTTTGTTCATATTAGCTAAAATTTGTTTGCCATAAAACATCATTATCTGCAATAATATTGAATCATCCTGTATATTTTAGCTGTAAATAACCTGCCGGCTAGCTAATTGTGTTTTCATTTTCAACTTTAAAATGATTACAAGGAGCAGCATATTTTTTATCTTATCTTAGCTCTGGGCACAATAAGTATGTAGCTACTGAGCGCCGCCTGAGATAACCACTGACCTGACTTTGTTGTAAAAGTCTTACAGTGTTATTAGTCATCCTGGCAGAAGGGAATGTTTCCTCCGTGTAAAAATGTAAATTTAAATATTACATGGGCATACAAGGCCTATTTTTATACTACTGTGTATAAGCATAGATATGTTGATTACATTGTCTTGTACAAGTTACATAAAATCATGACAGCTACATGTACATTTAAACATTATCTGAATTCATATTTACAATACTTTTACTGAGATAATCAAAGTAAACTTGTGTTCTAGGTGAGCTATTTTTCTAGTGTTGAATTTTCAGTTGTTGTAGTATTTTGAATTGCTATTAAAATTATGCTGCAAAGATACAATTCTCAAGGGAGGGGAAGAATTTCTTAGTACCTTCCTGAGCATAGCCTGATTACCTCCTCTATTTTAGTTTTTATCTGATTGTTGCTGCAGGTATTCTTCGCCCATTGCGGCCAGTATTCACTGCCTGGCATTTTTAAATGCAGTTTTTCGGTTTGTAGGCAGTTGAAGAGGAAGTGATCTGCATCACCTACCGCACCACATTCACACAATTCTGATGCTCGTTTGCTGAATCTCTTAAGATAATGTGGAAAGGGACCATGGCCAGTTTAGAATTGAGTTTGTGCTCTGCTGTATCATGTATTAACTGAGCATGTAACTTTCGGAAAGAACTTATAAGTTCTCCCTGTGCTTTCCCTTTCCCATCTTTTCTGCAATTCTTGTAAAAGGCTATTGAGCGTGATTTTTTTAAAAATAGGACTGCGGAACACTTACTGCATTTTTCGATCTACTGGAGTCATTGGCTGCGAAATCTTGCGATGATTTCTTTGAATAAACTATTTTTCTTTTCAGTAAAAGAGTAAAAACTATTTTTCTTCTCCATTTAATCCCCATGGCAATTCAGAATTTTACTGCTTTTTAACTTCCTTGACAATGCACATCATTAATCCCTATAAAATAATGTTTCAGCCAAAAATGGCACTTCTAAAAATATGTCATTTAAGATGAACTTCCCCATCTCTTTCCATTTATTTACACCATTATACATGGCAACACTTGTTTTACATTTATTTGAAAGTTGCCAGAATTAGCTGTAAACGTTCTGATTAGAGAACTAGAGTGTTAAAGTGTTTTTCCACTTTTGGCTCTTTTCCATTCAATATACTCAACAGGTAAGATTTTAATTATAGTGGGTATGAATAAGTTTATTTTTTCACAATGAAGAGTTAAAAGTGATCAATTTGTGACTCTTTTGTAATATTGTTATGCTAAGGTAACTATGGTTTTCCACTTTCAGTAAATAATTTTTTTATAGTTTGTATTCACAACAATTTTTATGAATTTTTTTTTAGCTCATTATCTATCCTCTCAAGATTAAAAAAAATGTTATTTTGTAATAATGATCTTTGCTGAAGGGAAGGAAATTAAAGCTTGTATAAAGACTGATGTGAAAACTGATTTATATTAATCATCTTTCGAAAAATGATGAAACAAAGATTTTCTCTGAAAAATATAGTGCATTTATGTATTATCCCATTGACCGTGAAAGTTGGCTACCATTGCACCATGGAAATTGGCAGAAATCCTGCCAAAGTTGCAAATGTTGTTCTTGTGGCATTCTGAAGAAACTAACATTTCTTTATTTAATAAACAATCAATCTTCAACTCGCTTGTTTTTTCCCTTGTAAAAAAACTTCCATAGATTTCTTTTATTTTATTTGGCCTTCAATTTTAACAGAAGCTGTATTTAAAACGCTATGAGTATCCCGCAGACAATTGTTCCAGTCTATTACTGCATTGTCGGTCATATTCAGCTAACCATATCATATCCACCGATACACACTTTTTTGGTGGTGTAGCATCCCATAACTTTTAAAATAATTCACTACTAGGTTCTCCGTGGAGGGTAGATCCCAAATTTTAATAATTTTTTTTTAAATGCAAGGCAAAATACACCAATGACAGTTAATTTATGTCTTGTTCATAAAAACAAAAAGTAACTGATCAAGAATCATGCAAGGTTACATCAATAGAAAGCGCAGATGTTATGAGTGTGTTGTTACATCATGCTTATCCATAACTGGGGCTAAATCATGCTGTTTGAAACAATTTCATGGTTGTCAGGATAATATTTAAGTACCAAATATTGTTTTAGAGACATAAGATTGTAATATGTATATCAAAATGTTGGGATCCATTTTGAGGCATTCTGCCAGTGAGAAAAATACAATTTTCATACATAATTAGTCCAAAGGGGTTTTATCCCTGAAGGATTATTGTTTTCATTCCTGCATTGGTTCATTATAAATGTCTGTTTCGCTTTTCAAACTGTTGCCACCAAATGTTAGAGTCCTGCATTATAGAATAGAAGAGAAGTACGCCAATGTGACAATTAAATCGCAATAACAACCTTGTATTTAGCGTACATATATTAAAACACTCAATTGATTTCAAGGGCAGCTCTCCTGATGAGGAGGAACCTTTAGCTGCCCTCGAAATCGATTGAGTGTTTTAATATATGTATGCTAAATACAAGATTGTTATTGTGATTTTAATCCTGCATTATATTTGAAGAAATTAAATAATGAAAAATTGGCATAAATGTATGCATATTTCACACATTGTGATAAAACAACGGTAGACAGAGCCATCCAATTTTGAATGACGTAATCCTATTGCGAATATGGCCAATGTGGAAGCCCAAATATGGAATTTGTTTTATTATCGATTTCATATTTTGTAAAACTTTAACAAATTTTTGATTAACAAACTCAAGGATTTGAAAGTGAGCAATGGCAACATTGTACAGAAAAAACATTTTTATCTTAATCTCGTGAGACTCTGTATCAGAAATACTAAAGGATATGCTCAGTTTAAAACTATTTTACGATACTGCTTTTGAACTGAATTTTATGGTTTAAGTGCAAAGGACATGATATTTAATAAGTAAAGGTAACAGACAAAATGTTAAAAAAAAAAAAAAAACGCCCCTTTGGATGTAATTTTAAATCTGAAACCTTCAGATTTTTTTCATTTTATTTTTTTTAAGTTTATTAAAAATTGAGAGCTAGTTTAAACATGCTGAGCTTCCAATTAAAGAATTTTAGTCATTTAAAAAAGCAAGTTATTTTTATGCATCTCAATTTTTTGTATTTCTTATAATTCATATTATTTTTCCATTTATGAACATTTTCTGCCCTTAAAATTACTACCAATTTCAATAGACTACTACCAAAATGATTAACTTCCTCCAGAAAATTTCTTTATAACATTTCAATTGAATATCATTGTTACTGCATAATATTTCATCTGGCAGTGCATTGATTTTCAAATTATTTGTAGAATGCAAAAAATTCTGCACGACTTGCAGAAAAAATCATGCAACTGAAATTAAATTCATTAAAAAGCTAAACAATGTTATTTTACAATATTTAAGTATCACAGAGAGAATGCAGCATTATTTGTATAAGTAAATCATTTAGCCATTTATAAAATTATTAAATATTTATGCAAGTCCTTTTTTTCCTCAATTTCGAATTTTAAAATCTCTGCTTTATAGATTCTTATTGTTGCATTTAAAAAAAAGAATATGGTACAATATTGTTGTATTCAATAATGATAATTAAATTTATTTTGCAGGCTTTGGTGAATGGTTTTTTCAACTTTGAAAATTTTAATCTTGAAGATTATGAACATTATGAGGTACAAAAATTGTATTTATTTACTTTAAAGTTAAATTTATATTCTCAGTTTTAAGAGTTTAAAAAATAATTTTACGTTTTTCAGAAATAATTAATTTTTGTGTTTATAATATATCATTTAAAAATTTTATTGTGTAAATGGAAAACTAGTATAGCTCTTTGAATTATTTTATTACATTATTTAATATTTGAATATTTAAAAATTTGAGTTGTTTTATTCCAATAATAAAGGCACAATTTTGTACAATTCTTTACTCTGATGTTATCTGATACAGCCTGATTTTTGATATTAGGTGGAAGTTCGTTAAAACTATACATAAATAATGGGATCCCAAAATAATATGCTTAGTAACAAAACTGATTCTTCAAGTGCTACTTTGTGTTTATAAATAATACTGCTTTGATACAATGAAAAGCAATTTTGCAAATCAGATGTAATCTGCATATCTTGTAAATCAGTGTGCATGTGCAAAAGTAGGTATACACCTATTATTCTTATTTTTAATTCTTAAGAGGCTTTTGCCCTGATTATACATCATAGAATTAATGAAGAATTTCACAATAGTTTGTTTAGTCAATAAGGGTGAAGTCATTAACTCCATTCACTCTTATTTGCAATGAGAGTAAGCATTTTCATGGATTTATTTTTTTTGGACAAGATAAAATATTTGTAATTAATTTCGTTCAGTTTATACAAAAATACACCTACTAGAAAATGCATACAAATATAAAACTTTGTGGTAATGTACACTTAATTATAAAATGTAAACTATACGAGTGTTCTAACCCTCTAAGTGGCCAAGTCATATACAGTACAAAGTCTGTAATCCAGACGTCCATAATCTGGACCACAAAGCTACAAACTTTATGCGCATGTGCGTTTAATGTATAACGGACGGTATAAGCTAGTCTAAAATTAAGGCATTTCAGTTAATGTTGCAGACTGCGCTGTTCCTTAATCTTCTAATTGGATCTGGCTTATTATTTTTTGCAGACTGTTAGAACAATTATATAAAAATTAAGCTTAAACTTTCGATTATGTCAAAAAGGGTTTCCAATTCTGGAGCTGCCAAAGAATCTACAAAGCGAAAGCATGTTTCGATGTCCATTAAACAAAAAGTGGGAATTGCTGCAAAAAATGGATAAAGGCTCCATCTCAAAATTATGTGAGAAGTACGGCATTGGAAAGTCCACTATATATGACACAAGAAAAAGAAACTTTTTGAATTTTTTGTGGAAGCATCTTAAACAACTTACATTAAAAGAAATGTTTAATAAAGTAAACAAATAAATATTAATCTTTTTTTTTTTTTTTTTTTTTTTTTTTTTGCAAATTTTGATATCCTTTAGATCATAATTATTCTTTATTTCATAAATTACGATTTCATATTTTTAATTGCATAATTTCTGCATGCCATCTTACCAGATTTAAATTGATAATCTATAATCCAGAAAAACCCCTAATCCGGAATCGCCGAAGTCCCGACGAGTCCGGATTACAGACTTTGTACTGTATAGATTTCAAAGACTTTGTACTGTATATGTTGTTGTACTGTATACAGACTTTGTACTGTATATGTTATGTTTGTACTGTATATGTACTGTATATATGCCAGCCTTGAAATGTGTCCAGACAATTAAGCTAGTATAAATATTAGAAGACAAAGAATCAAGGTACTAAGCAGGAGAGTTATGTTGATATTATAAACAAGAAAATACCATACTCATGGTATGTTTGGGAAGTTTATACTTTTGTGCCACACCATTGATTGCTTAGAGATTTAATGCTGATATCAAACTACCTGAATTTACAAGAGATGCTTGTTATAAGTTGGAAGACAAATATGTTGATGTAAAATTTTAAATTTATCAAAACTGTAGCTTTAATTTGGTACAAAAAATTAATAAAACTCTATTGATTTTTAAGGCAATTAGACATGGGTCTCCCTCATTCAGGAGGAGGGAAAAAAAAATCAAAATGGAAGGAACAGTGACTGTATTTATATTGAAAACAATCAGTGCAGAAAAGCAAAGTGCAGAACATAGCAACATCTGTAAAGAAAAATAGAATGGCAATAATCTGCTCTAGAAAATTGCCATTAAATGTGAAAAACTAAGATATTAGAATTCTAAAATAGCTTTGAAGAACTGAATTGCAATTAATGTTAGTAACTAAATGAAATAAAATTTTCTGAATATAAAAAGCTACAAGAAAATCCAAGTCACTAACTGAAAAAGTTTTATGGATTATCTTTGCAGAACCAAAGTCAAAACTGTGTTTAGAATTTCAGCTATCAATAGCTATTGAAGATTTTTTTTATTTCTCCTTTTTGAACATAAGATTTATGTTCCATGATGTGGAAATTTAATACTCTTTGACTTTGGCTAATCTCTAATGACACTGACAAGATAGGCATTAAATTCCCCAAGAATAAAATCAGATGTAAAAGTTCGATAAAGGAACCGAGAATACATACCTTAAAGTTTCTTCTTCCAATTTAGTAAATGAGTTTGCAGATGGCGAATATCTTTGCTGAAATCCCAGTCGTTCATGAGAATCCTCAACAATTATCTAATATTTGAAGCATTAAAGATACAAGCACATTTTCCAATGTTTTACAAAAAATATACTGCGCTTACAATATCCACTTGGCTATGATTCAAAATCAAGATTAGATTCTTTTAGATCAGCTTAGATTCCTTTAAAGTCACAGTTATTATACCACATGCGGCAAAACATTTTCGACAGTCAGAGATGGAATCTTTGAGAATGGAAAAATGAATTTTAATTGCTATCTTAGAAAATATCTGAAAGTTGATATTCTGCACAATCCATGTATTTTTATAGATGATAGAGGGATAAAATGGGATGATGACAAAATTAATGTTATTTCTAGCTACCAGAGCAGAATGTCATTTCTAACTACCAGATACAAGACAGGTAGTTAGAAATAACTATTATCGTTGATGACAAAATGAAAATTTTAACATGGCCATTGATGAAGCTTTTAAAAAAACTTTTTGTCTATTTATTAATTAGATTGACTTTTGCTGTGAGTCAGAAGCAAGTTGTTTAATAATGCAGAACCTAGTAAAATAACCTTAATTAATTTGCTAAATGACAAGGGGTTATATTACATCCTTTGTCAGAAATGTTCCAGGAAAAATGTCGTAAAAAATAGAAAATTGCATTTACCAAGTAATGATCCTAGCTGCTATCAAAGTAGCCTCTTGGCTATCTATACCTAAGTGCCAGTGTTTCTGGATGTCTTGGAAGCAAGCTGGGAAATCTTTAACTGCAATGCTTGCAAGCTCATTTCTCACTGACAGTTGGATAATACTAAGACAGTTGGACAGTTGGATTAATACTGCAAACTCAGAATTAAAAAAAAAAAAAAAAAAATTCCTGGAATTTTTCTGACGATGGATGTATATAAATAGAAGGCTTCTTCAATGAAAAGTTTTTCCATGTAATTCATTATCGTGCTATAATACTGATACTAGATTTTAATGTTACGAATAGCATTGTATTTCTCTTTATGCTGTTGAACCAGTAAGCAAAAAGTCATGGTTTACATTTATGTATATATATATATATATATATAGTACAAAGTCCGTAATCCGGACTCGTCGGGACTTCGGGAATTTTGGATTAAGGGTTTTTCCAGATTATAGATAATCAATTTAAATCTGGTAAGATGGCATGCAGAAATTATACAATTAAAAATATGAAACCGTAATTTATGAAATAAAGAGCAATTATGATCTAAAGGGTAGGAAAATTTACAAAAAAAAAAAAAAAAAGCTTAATATTTATTTGTTTACTTTATTAAACATTTCTTTCAATGCAAGTTTAGTTTTTTGTGCTAAACGCGTATGCTTAAAGCATACAAAAAAAAAGTTTGTGGCTTTGAGGTTATTATGCATTTCCACACATATTTAACTAAACTGCAGATATAAGGAGATTATTTTGTTCAGCTACTTATTCCAATTTTAATTGTATTTTAACTTGAGTTAATATTTCACAGTTTATTTACTTAAGTATTTAAAACTAATTTTAGATTTAACTAATTATAGTTCAAATTTTTATAGCGTGTTGAGTCTGGTGATTTGAACTGGATAGTGCCAAATAAATTCATCGCCTTTTGTGGACCTCATCCCAAGAGTAAAATAGAAAATGGTAATTATTTTAGATTATTATGATTGTTTAATTGTTTAATTTTTATTATTATTATTATTATCAACATGGTGATAGTGAAAGAACTGATTTTTGAGGAAAGATTAATGATATTATTTGTATAAAAACTATAACCTGCCAAAATAGCCCATGACTAAAGAGTCCCAACAAAATAGCCCCAAACTTAATGGCGCCGACAATATAAGCTCGACAAAATAGCTCCAAAGTAGTAGCTAAACCTAGTTATATAATTATATAAAATTAATTACATTAAAATATATTAGTAAAAATGAATTTTGGCAGTTGAAAATATTTATTAAAAAATGCATTTTAAAAATTATATATGGACATATTAATAGAAATTCTAAATGTGGTTTGGCAATTCTATACAAGCCTTTAAGGTTTTTATTCTTTACCATATTCTTTACAAAATTACATTTCATATGTGTGTTTCTGAGACAATGCTTATGGCGAAAAGTGCAAGAACTGAATTTGGTGGAAGCTTATGTAAATAATGAAAATGTGTGTGTTTATATAAAAATGTTAGCATTGAGTTTTGTACGAGTGCATGATATCATCAGAGTATATGAAGAATTAACACAAAATTTCCCAAATGAACTAGACCCGCATTATCAATTATTGGGAAGATATGTATATAGGCCAAGTAAGATGCAACCACCGAGCACAACCATGATTTGCAATGCATGTGTGGAATGCTTATGAGTGCATAGTCAGTGTCTTCTGAGGTCAAATAATTTGGTAGAAGGGTGGCATATGGCATTCCAGCATGTTGTAGATTGCCATCATCAATCCCTCTAATGATCCACTGATCATTTCCAAAAAGAGCAAGATATAGTGGAAATCTGCTTAACATGCCTACCTGAAGATATTTCCAACATAGGTGCTAGTGAAACTAAGTATCCCCAACTGAATCAATGCCTGGAAGCATTAGTAGAAAATTATTCAAATATGGAACATATGGTCTTTCTTCTTAATATTTTGTGGTGATGGCGATAAGGAGCGTGCCTTGCGCCCTCCGATAAGTGTGGCAACCCTAGAGGAGAAGTTCTTACGAGTAGCGAGCAGAGCGAAACAGGCCGGCTGTCGGGGAGTGTGCGCGAATTTCTGAAATAAAGCTTAATTTTTATTGTGCACTATGTCTTGTTAATATTTATATTAATGCAGTAAGAACATAATCTGTGATATGGAATTCGAGGATTGGTGGTAAAACATATAGGAAATCACCATAATTTCACATAACCTCGAAATGTAATTTTTGTAAATAATGTGGTAAGGAACAGAAACCTTAAAAGCTTGTAGATAATTCCCAAATCATATTTAGAATTTCTATTAATATGTTCATATAAAATTTTTAAAATGCTTTTTTTAATAAATATTTTTAACTGTCAAAATTAATTTTTTACTAATGTTTAGTAGTATATTTAGGCTTAGTTATTACTTCAGAGCTATTTTGTTGAGGCTATCTTGTGGGGGGCCATTTAGTTTGCGACTTGTCTTGGCCAATTTTGTTGGGGCTGTTTAGTCATGGGCTATTTTGACGAGGTACCTTGTGTTATAATTTATATTTGTATGAAAAATATTTTAAGAGCATCAGTGTCTTAGTTACAGTCCTTACTATATAAGTAAAGAAATGTTACTTTTCTTTGATTTTGAATATGTAACTGTCTCTTTTTCCTGATTATTCTTTCGCTATTCTAAGTACTACCCATTTTATGCTCCTTTTAGTTCGTAAATCATTTTGATTTCTCTACTTTTAATTTTCATCTCCTTCCCTTTTTAAAAATTGTTTCTGTATAAATTTTATTGATCGTAAGAAGAGACTGGCAAACCAAAGGTAAAAATATGCATATGTCAATTTTGAGTGTAGCACCATCAACTGTAATATCTGAAAAGAGAAAAACTGAGCAAAGTTATCTTATGATCGATATTTATTTTTCAAGTATTTTGTGTTCATTATTGAAAAATCTTATGGTAATTTTTGTATATGTTCTCATTATAATTTTTGCTCAAATTTATATCAGAAATCTGACAAATCTAATCCCGATAAAAATCCACTCTTACTGGCATATGTTACATAATATTAACAATCAATTTTTTGGTAAAACTATTCTGCTTAAGGGGATAACTTCACCACAATGGTCTTGTGGGGAGAAATAACCCTAACCCTAACCCTATCTAGTAATTAGGTATTAAATGAATGTTTGAGAAAATTATTAAAAAAGTTTTTTAGACCTCTCCTCTTTTGTGTTGTCACTGGTTCTTTACAATATACTTCTTTGCTAATTGTTTTATGTCGATGAAAATTACATGTATTATCCCAATGCCATTTAATGGTTTTTAAATGTGCTGATCAATTTGCACAGGAAAAAGTCGGTGTTGCCATTAAAAAATTTTGAAATTTTTTCAAATTTTATGGTTTACTAAAGTCTTCAGCTTCCAGTTTAATGAATTTTCTGACAAGTTTGGAATATTGTGGCATAAATTATCACCACACCACTAAGACTATAAATATATACATATTCTAGATTAATATTAAATACTTAATATTACTTGATCGTGTTTACAAGCAATGCCTGAAATACAAATTCAGTTAATAGTGAGGCCTATATACTGTCTGTTTATGAGAAGAATAGCTCCAGCCACAGTGTCTGACAGGTGGCAGTCGCTATAGCAACAGGACTAGTATATTCCAATAGGGGGGAACCAAGTGTTGCTTTATTGTTACTTTGTTTTTGACGACTGTCGGCTGAGGAGAAAACAGTTTATCATTCGTCTTCAAGACACCCCCTAAAGGCAGTGGGTCAAGGCCTGTTTCTGTGGCAACAGACAGCTGCAGACTAACTTGCAAGAGCTTTTCTTATTGATAGCCTGTATATGTGTGTGAGAATTTGGTTGTATTTTTCATTCAAGATTACTTTCAGTTATATTCCACATAATTGCAAGATTTTCATGTGTGATTGTTTTTTATCAAAATGTAGACTAGCTGTAGTTTCTTAATGCAAAAATTTAAAATCAGATTATTAGAGTAATATAAGGTGCTGTTCTATTATTGGGACCAGATTCAGAAATGTATGAATGTTTGAGTATATGTATATTTGTGTATTTGTATATATGTGTACATGTATACACACATACATTCGTGCTTACGTATGTACTACATGCATACATGAACACATACATCCATACATGCATGCATTTCTGAATCTGGTCCTGATAACAGAACAGTACGTAACATAATGAGATTAAAATCATTAATAAATCTAGTATTATTAAAAGTAAATTAAGCTGAACAATCAGATGGCTTATAAATGAGCAAGTGAGGTAGTAAAATCTATTAACGTGTATTAAAAGGGCTGAGAAAGGATACAGCTGAGTCTGAGCGATTTTTAATCGCAAGGATTTTAGAATTTACTACATATCATTAAAGCAGTTTGTTGTGGAATATAATAATAAAGGGAATCCAAACATTTTTTATTTCAGGTTATCCATTACATTCTCCTGAATCATACATTCCATACTTCCGCAAGCACAATGTTTCTACTATAGTAAGACTGAACAAAAAAATTTATGATGCAAAGAGATTCGTAGAAAATGGCTTCGATCATAGAGATTTATTTTTTGTGGATGGGAGTACACCGAGTGATGCCATAATGCGAGAATTTTTAGATATAGCCGAGAAAGCTAAAGGTGCCGTAGCTGTACATTGTAAAGGTATTTATTTTCTGTATTTTAAGAATAGAATGAAGATTTCATAATAATGTTTTTGATGTTGTGGCATTTGTTATTTGCTGTAGTTATTTTTAATGATAAATAATTTTAATAACTCAATAATTTTTAATTTCTCTTTTTTTAAAGCTGGTCTTGGTCGCACAGGGACATTGATTGCATGTTACTTAATGAAGCACTATAGGTTTACTGCTGCTGAAGCCATTGCTTGGATTCGAATATGTAGGCCAGGATCTATAATCGGTCACCAGCAACTTTGGCTTGAAGAGTAAGTACTGATTTCAAACAAAAAAACACATCTTCTGCATCTATATTTCAAGCTACATTTTAAATGTTCATATAACGTGCACCCAATTCTTCATGAAGAAATCTAAAAGATACATGTGCTTTCTTATCTATTGAGGTTGCTTATTCGATCATTTGTCCTAGATTTTCGAACAATGATTAACCTCATTTACAAGTGATAAGGGAAAACTATACATGTGGGTTAAATGTTTGAGGGAGTAAATATTCCGGCAAAGAGGGTGGATTGTATTCAGCTCAGATGTCCAAAAGAATGCTATTGTAGAGCATTTCCAACCTGAATGAATTTGTGGAATTAGGAGTTAGATGTTTTCTATTTCTGTAGTGCATTTGAAGACAAAATTTGGAAGTAAAAATCAAAGGCTTTAATAAATCACATTTGCTTTAGTTGAAATATAATTGATCTAAGGCTTCTTTTACAAGAAAGAATGGTTCTTGCAGAAAGAAACAAACATAGTGCTGGCTTTAAATACAAAACCATTAATTTTGCAAGAGAAAATGGAAATTATGCTGCAGCAAGGATGCTTGGTGTTGGTATAAGATGGAGCAGATAATAATTATTTATTTTTGGATCAAAATAATAATGATAGTGAAGATGAAACAAGGAGCAGATGATTATTTATTTATGGGTCAAAATAATAATGATGGTGAGATGAAACAAAATTCGATGATATGCCGGAAGATATAATAGAAGACGAACATCACGAATTCTTCATGTTATCCAATAATGCAAATGTTTAATTTCATAAGATGTGCTGTTTCTTTTAAATAAGCAGCTTTTGGATGCGTGTAAAAAATATAATTTTTTCTATATTTTTAAGCTATCATTTTTATGTCCAGCATTTAATGCTCAACTGTAAATTTTGGTCATATTTTTTGTATTAAAAATGGGCATTATATATACCAGAATATATGGTATTTAAAGAACAGTACAAACAAGATTTTTGAAAAATTCCTAGTAAAAATACTTTTTATTTTAAGAAATAGTATTTAATTTACTTGCGAGAGATAGTTTTCTTCCCTCTTTTATTTTTTTTTTCAAGTGCATGAAAGGGATTTAATTTAATAGAATGAATGTATTATTTTGATCTAAAACATGTGAAAGATCTGTGTTATTGGATGAAAACATATAAAACTGCTTTTTAAATGTTTTCATCAAATGCTGAATTCTTTGAAGCCCCAGTGGACAAAAGAGACTTTCCCAAGTGTTTTTCAACGACTTAATTTTAGGCATTTTCAAACAGATTATAAACTTACTCAGATTTTGACCAGTTATGGGAATTTTGGGACTTGCTTTATTTCACTATTGTTACTAGTCGACTCTGTGCTTGCGGCGAAGCTGTGAAAAATGCTGAACATATTTTATTGCATTGTAGGCTCCATGCGACTGCCAGAAGTGCATTTAAAGTGAGTTAAGGCTCTCTCTATTTGCTGGCCTCCTGTTTTCTATGATCTTATTAGGAGTTCTGAGGCCTTTGTAGTCTTGTGTGACTTTATTTGTTCTTTGAACTTTTAGTATTTTTATTATTTATATGCTTGGACTTTTATCTTTTATGTGTCATTGTATTATTTTGTGTATTGTACATGTGGGATTACTTTATGTATCGCTATATTGTACTGTTCATGTATCATTTTTTCTTTGTATCAGTATTATTTTAAGTAATATTCCTTTTTTATTATTATTGTATTATTTTTAGTTTATTTTCTTTTATAGGAGTATTAACATAGTTTAATTATTCATGGTATATTTTAGTATTTTTATTATAATACTATTTGTAGTTTGTATCTTTTTTTTTCCCTCTCCTCAGGCCTAGATAATATGTTATTATTGTTGAATTTCTTATACTGTGAGTTATTTACTTACATCTGTAAGCATTGTGAAAATCTTCATGTAACATGAGCAGTTTTGTATCTGTTTTCTTAATTTAAAAAAAAATGTTTTTGTGATACATGACATTTTGTTTTGCAGTTTGCAGTTTTTTAAAATTTTAAACATATCTAATTTTTCTTTTATCCTAGGGAAGTCACAACAAAAATTACTTGCGTAAATGTTTGTATGATGATAAGTTTCATCTAGCCTATTTTTATTGTTCAGTTATTACAAGGCAAAATAAATTATCTCATGTGCATATAATTTTTTCTAAATATATTTTATATTAAAGCAAGAAAAGTAGAATTTTTTAAAATCTATTATGTGAAATTTATGAAATTTTCATCATGAGTATAAAGACTAAAATTAGTAATCCCTTTTTGTTTTGTAAGTTTTCTCTTCATAAGCTGAGTCCTGATAATTCTTAATAATAAAATATTTGTGTTTTTCAATGCTGCTGATTCTTTTATCTGAATTAGTTTCATCATCCATTTCAAGATCATTCAGATTTTTTTTTTATTCTTTGCTTTCAATTTTTATATGTATTTTTGTTTTTAAATTAATTTAAAGCAATTACAGTTATTTTAAACTGATTGAAAACAAAAATATGAAAACTGTACTTGCTCACTATTCTTATGCTATTAACTGCATGAATAATACTTATCATTCATCAAAAAGGAACTACTTAGTGATTTTATTAATTCTAAGAATTTCCTGCTAAAGTGGGCTCTTCAAGAGAAAAATATTGAAAGTGATGCCGATTAAAACAAACTTTTGTAAATACTAAAGTTTATGAATATACTTGCATGACTCGAATCCTCCACTTGACTGCTGCAGGATTAAGTTGAAAATTATCAGCAAATTTGTAGAAATACATATTATGCATACTTAAAGCATGCACCCATGTTAATATTATGGATTAGAAATGTAACAATTTTATTAAGTTTATTGTGATCACATTTTTAGTCCAAATTTTGAAAGTCTTTGATTTAATAAGACCCTTTCACCTTTTTTTTTGTTTAAATTTGATATAATATCATATACAGTTCGTTAATCTGGACTCGTCGGGACTTCGGCGATTCCGGATTATCGATTTTTCCGGATTATAGATCATCAGTTTAAATCTGGTAAGATGGCATGCAGAAATTATAAAATTAAAAATATGAAACCATAATTTATGAAATAAAGAACAATTATGATCTAAAGGGTATCAAAATTTACAAAAAAAAAGCTTAATATTTATTTGTTTACTTTATTAAACATTTCTTTCAATGTAAGTTGTTTAAGTTGCTTCGTTTTTTATGTGATAACACTTTCTCCTTAATTCTATAAACAGACATAATTTCTTGTTCAGTTACAGAGTTCCGCTGTTCAAATCCCGTAATTGCTGTGCCGAGAATACCGACTAACTTGTCAATCGAAATTCTTTAGTTTTCGAAGATCGCTATCGGAAGCGAATTATAATGACGAGGAATTTGATTTAAATCATATCAAAGATGGAGTACATCGAGATGAAATACTACATTTAGTAAGGAATTATAAGCCAAATAAAATAAAAACATCTGCCTTGACGATAAGGATAGTGCTGACAGATCAACTTCCAGTTCATTGCGCGCTGCGACGTGCCCCCCTTTCCCCACACGCAGAGCAGCGTGAAATTGATAAACAGATTTCAGAATGGTTAGATAAACAAATCCATTATCCTTTATCCATTTTTTGCAGCAATTCCACTTTTTATTTAATGGACTTCGAAACATACTTTCGCTTTGTAGATCCTTTACATATTAATAAATATATATCAGAAATTCTATTTGACATAATCGAAAGTTCAAGCTTACTTTTATAAAATTGCTCTAACAGTCTGCAAAAAATAACAAGCCGGATCCAATTCGAAGATTAAGGAACAACGCAATCTGCAACATTAACTGAATTAGATCATTTTAGCTTATACTGTCCGTTATACATTAAACGCGCATTTGTAAACATATTTTGCGCATGCGCACACACGCATATTCGCAGCCATAAAGGTCTTACGCGCATGCGTCAAAGTGACGCATGTGCAGAAAGTTTGTAGCTTTGAGGTCCAGATTATGGGTGTCTGAATTAACGACTTTTGACTGTAGTAGAAATGTACTTTTTTTTTTTATCTCTGACCTACATTTGTGTTTGAAATAGTCTTTTAGATAACCTGTATTTTATTTGATAAAAGCAATAGTTTTTTTAATCTAACAAAAGTATAACCAGCACATTTATGAGTTGATATTTTAGTATATTGGGAAAAATTGTGCATCACTTTGCCTAGGATTAGCCTATAAGTTTAGAACTTAGTGTTTTTGAAAGAATAGGCTTTTAACTTGAAAAAAAAAATAAGGTATAAAAATAAATATTTTTGGGTTATAATCATTAAAGAGATGCCACCATAAACATAAGTTATGAAACAGCAAATATTTTTTGCATGAAAACTGATAAACTTTGCTTTAAAAGTGTTTCATAATAACACTTTTTTATTTTATGGTTCTGATAAAATGAATTCTAAATTTTATTTAAGGAAGCAGTCTTACCTGTGGCTTCAAGGTGATATATATCGTCTGAGGAAAACACATAATGGTAACACTAAGAAAAAGGTTGCCGAAAGTAAAATCAAAGATGAAAAATCTCCTATGAGATCTAGTCTGGCCATTCCAAAAGAAAGGTTACGGAATAATACGCTTAGAACAAATGTTAATACCTTAGGTGTAAGAAACAGTTTAGAAGCTTTAGATAATGATGCTCAAGGAAATAATGTACAAGAGGTAAATACTGCTTTCTAGTTTTGTATTTTTTGATTTAATTATTGCCATTCATTATTATGCATCATAAAGTACATAAAAATGTCTTACTCACATTTTTGATTATCTGTTAAAAATTTTAGTGTAGAGTAAAAACACAAAATATAAGATTTCATTTTCCTTGGAATAATAAATTAAAGCAAATAAAAAAAACTGGCACATATTTGTGATCTATAATTTTTAAAATTTTGATAGTAATATATTGTTTACTGCTTAATATATTGAATTTTCTTTCCAAACTGAATATTATCAAGATATAACAAAGAGAAGTAAAGTATAGAATTTTTAATACGAGTATTACTTTTGAAACATTTCTTTAGCAAAATTTAAGAAATTTCAAAATAGTTTCTATTTAAAATTAGTCAAATTCTGTCTGGACAAGTTTCTATTGGTATTGTTTGGAGAAATTCTTTAATTTTTTTCTCTTCTGTTTGTGCTTATTAATTTAAAGTCCATAAATTTCTAATTTTGTAAATTGCAGTATATTAATGACTAGTGCAAATGGATGTGAAACTGCATAAAAACATAAAATATTGCAATTGTCATTTTTTAGGGGTGATTATCCCTTCTTTGAAATAAGATTTGGTTACTACATGTTTTGAAACTATCGATTCTAAATTTAGATTGTGTTGTGCTTCACTTTCCTCCTTCCCCCTTCCTGCATAATTTTGATACTTTAGTATTGAGTTAACATATATACATTTAGTATTAAGTTAAAAAAATTTTAAATTTTTAAAATTAAAAAAAAATTAAATTAGAATTAAAAAATTTAAAGAAAATATAGTGCTTATATTTTTTAGAATTTTTTTTACTGAATGAAATATATCTTAAAAGAGTCACCTTGATTCATCTTGTGTTACACACTATTATATGATGGATGATGCTTGCTACCTCTGTAGGAATTACATTACTTGCTGGAATAATATTAGTTCACCAGTAGCTTCTTTTGAGTAGATATTTGTAGTGACGTACTTAAAATTACTCTTAGATTGCAAATATATACTAATGCAGGTCTTGGCAAACTATGACTCGTGGGTCACCGAGTGACCCATTTGATAATTTCAAGTGATCCTCTTAAATTCTAAAAATAAAATTCTGAAATGACTTTTTAACCCCCCCCCCAAAAATAAATAACACGTTTGTGTGATTATAAAGTTATAGTAACAAATGTGCATTTTCATTTTTAAAAAGTAAAAATTGTTGCATAATTTCAAGGAGAAATTGGCAAGTTTGACACCACTGATTCATAATTTCTTGACAGACATCTGGCAACACTAAAGTCGTTCTCTTAGTTCACTCTCAGTTGTAGCATTTGTTCAATAGCCCAAGAATAAATTCATTAGTGAAAAATATTGACTTTTCCGTTTTGTTCATATTCGGTTCAACTTATAAATGCCAGGAAATATTTTCGTGCATGAAATTAGTTCTAAGTAAGAACAGGATCAGTTTATCGAAAATTCAATTGTCGTAAGATGACATTCATATTGAAGAAAAAAATTAAGTTCATTCAGATATGTTTGTTTTTATAATAATTAGAATTTTAATTTTTATGTTTTAAGCATATTGCAATTACTTTCTCAATAAAATTTATCTTATTATTCGGCGAAAAAAAAGTTGTTTTAAAGTTAAACTAACACTGGCCCAAAACGTCTTCCTAAATGCACACATTTTGGTTGATTTTGAACTGCAAAAAAATAGGATGCTGTCTCCTGTACTAAAGTTTTATATCTTGCTTACAAATGCCTGAGGACAGCACATCATTTGATTTATTCAGTTAAATGGCAATATGTAATCGCTATCTTGATTCCCAGCATCAGAGTCGTAGCTAGGGTTTTCAGCACCCAGGGACAACTGAAGATTTTGCGCCCCCTACTGCTTGTCAAGGATGGAAAACATTTCATTCTAAAATGTCGTAACATCAGTTTGGCGCCCCTTGGATTCTGCGCCCGAGGACAGATGTCCCCCTTGCCCCCCTCTAGCTACGCCCCTGCCCAGCATTTGTTGTACTAATAGCATAGTAAGATGTTTATCACTAAAGTGCCTTAGAAAATATGAATTATGTTCTTTATGACTAATGAACAAGGCATTTATTAAATTGAAAATCCCTTAAATCTATCTGCATATTCTAACTGAATGTCATACATATGTGTATGTATATACATGTACATACATACACACCCACACACACATCTCTATCTCTTTTTTTGTCTCTCTCTCTATATATAATAACAATAATTAAATTATCTCCTAGGAATAAAAAGAAAAATTGTAATCTTTAATGCTAGTAAGGTAAAAATATTTAAAGTATATGCTAGAGCATACAAAAAGGCATTAATAAAGTAAATTAAAGAACTTGATAAAAATGTTAAAAATCAAATTAAAGCGTAAAAGTTGAATAAAAGTTTTTAAGAAAAATCCTAAAATCAATTATTGTCATTAAACAGAAATTAATTGACTTATCAAGGGAAACAAACTAATCCCTGTTCAACTAACAATAATTAATAGAAGCGATTATGATTTGTAACTTATATTTGCAAAGACCACTTGTAAAAAATCATATCAGGAAGAGATTGAGCCCAAACTGATTCAAAGGGCAAGTTAAGAAAAATAATTATTATAGTCAATGAGAGTCAAAATACAAGCCAAATTAGACAAATCATTAAAGTAAAGTTGGAAGTATCTTTGCCAAGAGACCATTCCCTGACATAATCACGTAATTAATGATACAAATTACAAAAGACACACAGGATAAAAAACATGGCAAATGCAAAATTAGGGATAACTTTTAAAATAATTAAAAATATTTGTGCTATTCTCAAATGAATATTTAAAATTGTTAGTTAGAGATTTTAAAATTAGTTAGTTAGAGATTTTAAAATCTACTAAATATACATTGAAAGAGATTTAGAGATTTTTTAGTTAGTTAGAGATTTTAAAATCTACTAAATATACATTGAAAAGGAAAGAAATGAATTAAAGTAAGCTTACGTATTTGTGTAATGGAAGCTAAGTACAAAATGGCAAAGTTATACTCTGTCCACTGCATTGAAATGTGACCAAGGTTGTCATGTTTAGGAGAAGTTAAGATGAGTCAATTGTTATTGTTGTAAGGCAGGAAAAGTTAGGGATGGATTACCAAAAGTTGGCGAGAGGATATTCTTGCTTTAGTAAAATTTGGTAAGAGAGTCATACTGCTAGAGTTAAAAATTAGCTAGAAATTTACAAACAATAGAAGTTAATTGATTTCTAGCTAAGGGCCTGAAATGTATAGAGTGAGGTAGAAGATCTTCATGTGTAGCACGCTGTAGACAAGTTTTAGAAATGAAAATAGACCCATTAGTTAGTAAAAGTATATATATATATATATTGGGTCATATAAAAAGTCTTTGTGCTTTTTTGCCACTAGATGCCTATATATCCGGCAACACTCACCCGATTGTCTCAAACGAACATGTGCTTAAAAGGTGATATTCAGCTTCCATTGTTCATGAAGAAAGTTTTCTAATTTGTTGCTCATGTAAAATGTTATATTGATTTGAAAATGAGTGAAATATCTGAAGAAATATGCTATATAATGCTTTTTCATTATAAAAAAGGTAAAAACGCTGCAAGAACATGTGAAAAAATTTGTGAAGTGTACGGTAAGAATGCTGCGAGTGAACGAAGGACCCAGGAGTGGTTTGCTCGATTCCATTCCAGAAATTTCGACATCGAGTTTGGAAGGCAATTGTCCATTTTGAACTGCTGCAACCTAGTGAAACCATCAGTTTGACCCTGTACTGTGCACAACTGAACTGTTTGAACAAAGCAGTCCAGAAAGGGGGACAGAATAGCCAACAGAAAGGGAGTTGTGTTCCATCATGGCAATGCATGGCTACACACATTTTTGATAACAACAAAGTGATGGAACTTGGTTGGGTTTTGTTGCACCCACCTTATAGCCCGACTTTGCACCATCTGACTACCATTTGTTTCGGTCTCTGCAAAACTCAATTGATGGTAAAAAATTGGCCGACCGAAGCACAGCTGAAAATCACTTGACCAAGATCCTTGACGATAAACCACAGCAGTTCTACACCGGTGGAATTATGAACAGCTACCTGAAAAATGGCCAACGATCATAGATAATAATGGTCAATATGTAGTTGATTAAAATTGATTTTTAATAAAGAAAATTTTTGTTGTATCAAAAAAAAAAAAAAAAAAAAAAAAAAAAAAGAGACTTTTTATATAACCCTATATTTAGACAGAAAGTAAGAAATTTAGAACCTGTTTTACACAAAGGCCCAAAAAAGTGAAATTCAATACCAATAAATTTCAAAGTATCCTATAAATATTCAAAATAAGAATTAGAGAAATTTTGCTAATGAAGCCAAACTGGCAACCTTTGGTATTTATTTTGAATCTAATTGTTCTTTTCATTGTTTCGAAATTTGTTCTTTGATTATAATGTTCTTGCTACATTTCCTGTAGATTCTATTTCTGTTTCTACATTTGAATTTCAATTTTCTTGATTTTAATCTTACTTAGTGTAAAAATTGCTTAACTATTTAATTTATTCAAATTTGGAATTTTCTTCAATTGGTTGTGTTTACTATTTTTCACTAATGGATTACTACTTCATCCTCTAAGTAAGTTTTTATTCATGTTCTCAGTTTACTTTTTATTTCAATTTTAAATTCAGTGAAAAAGTCTAATTTTATTCTTTTACTTGAATTGACATTGAATTTACCTTGTGTCAAGGAGGACTTCAAAAAATTTTTGTATAAACTGTTAATTAAAAAAAAAAAACTTTTACAATAGTTCATCAGCTAGTTTTGAATACGGAAACGCAAAGATTTTCAGTACAAGGGGGATCGTAATTCGGTCCGATGTATCCTCCTCTTGATAACATTACATCAGCTTTAATTGAGTTCCTCTTCTGTATTTGTCTTTATGGTTTTGGTATATATTTTCAGGTTTTT